TCCACAGCATGCCCTCATCCCCAGCCACTGATGCTTCAAGGTATACCTGCTGCAGCATGGACTTATCCACAGCCACAGTCCCTTCAGAGGTACACCTGCTGTGGCACAGACATAACCATGGCCACAGATGCTTTGAGATGTACCTGCTCTGGCATGGGCTTGAGCATGACAACAGGTCATATTGAGCATCTGGCAGATCTTGGTGCTCCAGCCCTTGGCTGACTCACATGGTTGGTTGCACTCGCTCAAGATCACCACATCTGGATGCAGGGAGGAAGGGCAGTCCAGCTCACCTGGTGGTAGATACGTCCACGTGGGTGAGCACGTTGGAGCCAATCACTCCACATCCCAGTGCTGACACTGGAGGGAAACTGCCAGCATCCAGCACGACTCATAGGTTTGGCTTCAGATGCTTATTTTAGGCGGGGATGAACTGCCCTTTGGAGCTGCCTCTTTTTCTCTGCTAATTATAAAGTGGAGGGTGGCAGGCATAGGCTCACACATTTCAGTTTTGTGTGCTGTCAGAGCAGTGGTGCTCTGCACTATAGAACTCACAGAAAGGTGTTTTTTGTTGTTATTACACTCCTTGAACTTTGGCAGATCACCTTTCTTTAATGTATAAAAATGACCTGAGGAACCCTAAAACTGAAGGGTTCTCACATTTTCAGCAGCCAACAGAGGAACCCAACAGAGAAATTAATGTCTCAGTGCCATCTTATGGAATGATCTGTGTAAAAGGACAAGCAGCAGCAAGAGGCACATCCAGCGATCCGTGATGCCATCCTAGAACCATGCTGGAGTTTTAGGGAATTTGGTGGTAATATCAGGGATTATGCTGCAAATATTATCACCAAACCAAAGATTTCTATCACAAGCTGGGATTGCCTTTTTTCCTGAGAAGACTGCAAGTCCATGGGAGCCCAGTGTTGCAGAAAACACCTGTCCATTTTTCAGCCCAAATTAGAATATATAGATTCTTATAGTTAATGCTTGAACAGAGGAGACAAAGCCTTTCAGAGACACAGCAGTTTTCTTGTTTGCCCACAGGGGAGGAATCCACTTGGAACGCTCCCTGAGATCTAGGAGTGAAAAGTAAAGTTGTAGGTCCAGTTGTGGGGGATACTGACCCACTCACACCTTGTCCATCTGAGAAAGGCTGTGAGATCTCCAACACATGCTGATGTGAGGACATCAGCTTTACATGTCAACTGGAAATTACCATGTCCAGAAGAAACTTGAGGCTCCTGCCACCCCCCTGACCTGGTGGTCCAGCTCCCATGTTTGTATGCTCCACGAATAAACATTTGCATAGCAGATAATGAAGTGACCTGGAAAGATTTATCAGCCACTTTTTCTGTGCCACAGCATGGCTCACAGACTCAGCAGCATGATTATCATCTGTCATGATTAGATGGTCCTTAGTATCAGAGACAGACTAGTAAATTATTGCATATTTAGCCAGGCGTTCACTGAGGTCAATAGCTAATCTGTCGCTGGAGGAGGGCTTACCCCAGTCCATAAAACCCTTCCCTGCCCC